TTCTCAGTTCCTGAGACCCGTGAAATGTAACATCTCCTTACAGGATGCAGGAGTTTACAAGCTTGACTGTGAGTGCGGTCTCTCTTATATTAGACAAACGAAGCGAAGTGTTTGTACCCGCGTCAAAGAACATATAGCTGATGTCAAACACCGTCGCGTAAACAAGTCTGCAGTCTGCGAGCATGTCATGGATAAACCTACACATTCAACGAAGTTTGACAAACCCCAGGTTCTTGCAAAAGAAGTCCGTTATCTCCCAGGATGCTGCGAGAGGCCATTGAAATTAAAAAACATCCTAATATCAACAGGGAAGATGGTTTCTCCGTACCACCAGTTTGGGATCCAGTATTTCCTCTGATGAAAAATCCCAACCAGACATAAGACTGCAGTACTAATTGATACGTTTTAGTTTATTCTAATTTGTATTATTAATTAATAATAAATTGAAGTTAATAAAAATTCATTGAATAAAATAATTTGTAAAACTTAATGTAGCGTAAATTGGAATATTTTCTTTGTAAAATTAAAAATAAGGTATTTTATTAATAACTATTGTAACTATAGAGAAAACATAGGGTGGTTTGCATTAATATTAGACATAACTGGTTGAAGACTGTATCACCTCAGTCAACCGTGACCATGGGACCTGTAAAGGGCCTGAAACGTCGATTTGTTTCAAAAAACAAAAGTACGCGATTTAAATCCGGAAAATAGTTTCATTTCCTATAATACTTCCCTTTTTTCTTGTCTTTTTATGAAACCAAGTGACGGGACGAACAAATCGTGAGCCTGGTGTTAAGCATAGCAGTGCCACTCTGATTAACGATCAGAATCGCAAAGATCTAGAGACACTGCCACTTCATCTGTCACCCTTAGACATATTTGACAAATCTGGGGGTCTTTGTTTTTTCCTTTTATTACTGCCTCCGTGGCCGTACGGTTATCATACTGGATTGCCACGCAGAGATCCTGGGTTCTATTATCCAACCGGTAGAAATATTTGCATGACCTACATTTATCTTCCGTGAGTTTGGGTGTAATTTGTGGTTGTCTATGTATAAGTCCATGACACCCGCGATACAGGGTTTCCATAATGCGGGGTTATGAGTGTGTGCGTTATTTATTTATTTAATTTGTCTTTTGATGTTTCTTTTGATATAAACATTCAACAAATTAACAGAAAAACTGAAATTGTGCTTGCAAGTGGCAACAGTACAATAAAATGATGAAATTCAGTTAAAGTACATTAACCCCAGCTTAACTCGCGTGGGCATGTAAAATGCGATCACGCGCATACGTTTTATCTCGTGCCATTGTTATGGTAATTGCCGAGCTATAGGCGCGTGTGGCTCATATCTGACGCTATTCCTTACAAGGGCTTGTCTAAGGGCATTTGTTAGATTGGCTCATACATGCTGTGAATCCTTTCAAGAGACGCTCTTATCAGTGTAACACCCTCCATTGTTTGCTGTAAAATAGTAGATAACATTGTAACAATTATAATCAATACAATATTATTAACCATAATTTAACTTTCGAGCAGGAGATTGTAACGAAATTTACAAGCCAAAAATATTAATGATAATAATGTAGTGATAAGATACGCCTGTCTATAGTAGGCGCAGTGCCACTCAGAGCTTTAAATCACAAAGGTCACTGCACCCGCTGAGACATAACTTTACGAGTACCATATGCCTGTAATTTCACCAGCACTGCAGCAGCTTGGCGGCAGAAATAGATAAGGTAAAAATTACAGATAGAGGTTTCAAATTTGTAAATATACATACACTTTAGAAAAAATGTCTTAATTCGAAATAGACCTTTTTTAACAATCGTTATTCAATATCATGCGATCAAAAGTCTATTGCTTATAATTAAAACAAATCCCTAACTTTCTATAAGTTCCGGACACTAAAATAAATTTAGTGCTACACGATCTATCCTTGACACTATTAAAATAAGCGGAACCGGTCAACTTTGAATAACGGTCAGTGATAAAGCCAATTTTATTGTTCTCAACTGACGGTCGCTGTATGTAATTGGTTATTTAATAGATCAAAGTAATTTTCACAACTACTAACATTAAACAGCAGTTGTACGTTGTATTATTATAGAAACAGATTACGATCAGCAAAGATACTGTAGATCGAGATTTAAAAAAGGAAGGATATGTATCAAGTACACATTCCAAACGCGCACTAAACTCAAAAGCAATAATAATAATAATAAAAATAATCTTTATTGCAAAACACAGAAAAAAGGTACAAATAATCATAATCATTCATTTCGGACTATGAATCCATAGTGTTAGTAACAATATAACTTAAAAATCAGTGTTAGTAACAACTGAGGAGGCAAATTTGAATATTTATTAATGAGATTCCCCTGTAGAACGGCGCGAGACGGAGCTACCGGCTTGATGCCGTGTGCAGCTGCACCCAGCGCCTCACCATCGGAGAGTCCTATCTAGCGGCAACGGTGCTAAGGATGCCATTCGTGCTGCCTTGTAGCCGAGTCAGGAGTGAGGCAAAAATCTTTCATCTAATGGAAAAAAAGCAATCCGTACGAGTCTCAGCAAACATAGCGGAGGCACTACAGTAAATTTCATGAGAATTGACACCTGTCTTTAGATCCTAATTCTATAGGGTAGAATCATTTCAATCAACAATTATGCCAGGATGTAGAAAAAAACTGCTTTCTTATTACATTTTTACTAAGTTTTTGACAAACGAATTTTACATCCAAAAAATAAAAATTATGATGCTAAGTCATGGGACAAACAAGTCGTGCACCTAGTGATAAGCAACACGCCTGTGCATAACAGTTGCAAAGCTAACTGCCTATGTGGCCGAACGGTTACCACGCAGGTCCCACGTTCGATTCCCGGGGCGGGATATATATTTGTATGGCCGACATTATTTATCTCGTGAGTTTGGGTGTAATTTGTGGTTGTATATGTGTGTGTAAATGGCACCCACGACACAGGTTTTCGCTACTGCGGGGCTATGTTGAGTGTGAAGGTTATTTTTATTATAGCTCGTCTGGGCTTTAAATCCCAAAATCTGAGGGGTACTGCCGCTGCGCCTGTCACCCTGAGACTTAAGCTGACAAGTCCCATGTGCCTGTAATTTTACCAGTGCCCTTACCTTTCCAAACCGGAACGCAGGAGCTCTACACAAGGAGCTCTGCTGCTCTATTTAAGGGCAACAATTTCTTTTAGCGTTTTTTTTGTTGAGAATTCTCAAATACCTACTTACTACTTCGCATTTTTCAGAATACATAAATTACGACTTTAAAGTATTTACTGTTTCTGAAGTGAAATTTTTTCTAATAAATTTTTGACAACTTGTTCCGTATTTTTCAACACTTATTACATTATTATGTTTTCATTAAATTGCATAATGAATCGACAGGTGTTTTAATGTGTAATATTGTAAAAATGAAACAGAAAATAGAAGTAGTTTCCATTATGGAACTAAACAATGCGAATATAATAATAAATAACATGTAATAATAATGTGTCAAACAAACACACCAATTACCAGCTGGTCTCAAACTAGAATTTAAAGCCCTAAGTCATACTGCTACTGTTATGCCACGTACCACTAGGTGGGCGACTTGTTCGTCCCGTCACTTGGTCTCATAAAAAAATCCTGTACTTAAAGTGCTTGAACAATAGATTTTACTCTACCCACAACGCCCAGACTCATTTCCCAAATTAATCCTACCGAGAATCGAACCCGTGACTTCCATACCTAAAACCCACAATGCAAACCAAGCCACCAAAGTAGTCAATGCACAAATCTATGTATATTCAATAGTTTCATACAGTTGTATGAAACACAGTAAAATGTACGTAACCTTACCAAATCATACAATACATTATATTACTTGCATTCAGTAGCGTAAATCTGAACAAGTCAATTTGTTGCATTTAATGAACTCTGCACTTTGGTATCAGTTAATTTATTCTCAAATTATATCCACACACCGCTGTATTTATGGTAACTGACCAATTCTAAGATAGTTAAATACACTTATCTACTGTAAGATTAAAGTGGATTTTTTATTAAATATTTTGTGTATTGAATTTATTTGTTAATATTTTGAGGTACTACTGAAATGGTGTTGATTGTCATGAGTTGCTCATTTGACGAGATTTATATAGTATAATTGAGGATTAAATGAACGTACTCTATGTTATGTTCTATTACAATAATTGTGACTTCAAAGTACCGGAATTCACTCCAGTTGTCTAGAACACTCAGATCATGACCAATTTAGAAAAGTTCATCTTCTTATCTCATCGATGGCATACACTATAATAGTTGCTATCGTTGTGAAAGGATTTGCAATCTGTGTAAGGTACTCGCCGATGATTGCCCAGAGTGCGCCCGATGTACAGGAAACGAATGGTACATCGTGTGAGGAGACTTCTTTCGTGCACCCCAGACAATTTCATTTTCCAAATAAATCCTACAGGGAATCGAGCCAGATACCTCGTCATGCAGCGCTCAAAGTGCAAAACGCTGAGCTACTGAACGCGCCAATGTACATAATATCTAATGTTATGTGATTGAACTTTAGACTATACCGATAGAGTATGGCGTTTATATAGCACACTTGAGCAGCTAAATAAAAAAGAATATAGACTTTGTTTCTAAATTTTAATGAAATGTAAAGCTACCTCAACAATTACGACTTGTTTTTCCTTACTACAGCAACATGCTCGTTTTCATAAAGCTCTGAAATATTAAATAAAAAACACTGACAAATTTTAAATTGAAAATTGAATAATCAGTATATCCATATTAAGTCCGACGATCTAGTTTAGTTGCAGGCAGCGCCCACTATACAAGTATAAGTTGTGGCAGGTAGGTTTTCCTGCGTCTGCGACAACCGGGCGGGACTCCTGTACCTATAGGATATAATATATACTATGAATACATATGTACTATTTATAGTACTGCCTATAAAAGCGCTGGTTATCTGAATTCGGCACACAAGCCCTAGTGAACGCTTCCAGTACTGAACTAGTGCTAAAGTTAGACACGATGTTTGTTAAGGTAATGCGCTTTGTTCTAAGAGTTCTAGAGTGATTGTGTCAGTGGATTTATAATACATAGTTCTGTGCTTTGAGTAATTGGTTTCTTAAGGAGTTTTTAATTGCTTTACAGATTTGCAATTTAGGTAAATTTATTTTTAAAAGAAAGCAGTAAGTTTTCGAAAAAAATTATTACTAAAATATTAACTATAATTATTGTTTCACAAAAAATGCAATAAGTCGCAAAAAACATTACTTGACTACGTATTTATTTTTTAACAACATGAAGAGCAGGTACTCCTAAATAAATAGGTACATTTCTATGAAAGCGTCACCTTTTCAAGTTATTTACTCCAGACTAAACTGATAGGCTCCGTTAGTTGCCTAAGATAAAATGTCACTTTTCTTCTATACGTCTCCTTAAAGGAGACTAGTGCCCTACTACGGCATGTATTTATGTAGCAATAACTTTTTTGTCTCCATCTAAGTGAAATTGTTATTATTAACGACACAAATACAATAAACCTCCAAAAAAGAACCACAACTTGTGGGTTCGATTTCGTAATAAAAACAATTTAATAGCACATTTTTCGCAAAAACCCTTGAGACAAGGAAGCTAATGTCATTATCTAAAATAATATTTATATTATTTTATTTGATCAATTTTACTTCCAGGTGATTGTATCTTGCGCTCTTCTCAGCGTGGTTCGTGGTGGACTAATCGCAGCTCCCCACGGAGCCGTTTCATCTCAGGGTCTGCTATTGGGCGCTCCAGGTATTGCCCGCGCTGGTTATGGCTACGGCGGTCTTGGTTACGGCGGTCTGGGTTACGGCGGTCTTGGCTACGGTGGTCTAGGCTATGGCGGCGTCGTTGCCGGCCCAGCATTAGCAGCACCTGGTTACGGACTAGGTAAAATAATGATTTCATATATTTATCTTTTAATTTCATGTTATACCCCCGCGGAACGCGTACAGGCGAAATTGAGAAAAATATGTAACATTTTTATTTACACAACCGTGTTCTTTTGATGGGAATTGAGGAGCCGAAGGAGGTTTGTCAGGAGCGTAGCTGCCCTTAGGTGCACGGTCTCTGCCTACCCCGCTGGGGAGACAGGCGTGATAATGTGTGTGTATGTAATAATAGCGCCAATCAGCCACATCACTTGGCTGGTCTCAAACTAGGGAATTCCCTGTACTATGAGTGCCAGAGCAACGGAATTCATTCTGGGGTACTTCAAAGACCACCCAGGATTTTACGTTCTTGTAAATTTTGTAAAATTAACTTTAAAAGGTTTTTTTATTTATTAAACTTTGATTTCATTATTAAACTGTTACATTTTTTAAATTGTCATTTCCTCTTTGACACAAAAAACATTTTGTTTAATTTCAATTTTTTTCCAATAAAGGTTTAGTACGCTTATATTATATTAAGTCGATGTTAAAAGATGTTATTTCAATTGCTACTCGATTTGTAATTCTTATAAACGTTACTATTTTATATATCCCTTTTTTGTACCGGTAAACCCGCCATTGAGTATTATTTTTTATAATACCACGTGACGGCACGAACAAGTTGTGCGCCGGGCGACACGCCCGCGCGTCCATCCATAACGGTTGCAGTGCAGTTTAGAGCTTTTAATCGCAAAGATCTTAGGGGCACTGCTACTATGCCCGTCACCCGGAGACATAAGTTGAGAAGTCCCATGAGGCTGTAATTTCACCAGCACCTTTACCCTTCCAAACCGGAACTCAGTAAGTAATACTCACATTACTGCTTGGCGACAGAATTAGATAAGCCGCCAGTACTTCCCTAGGCGATCTCTTTCACAAGGAGCTCTACTGCTAAGGCTCTATTTAAGGGCAGCAATTTCTATTAGCGTTTTTTTTATTGATAATTCTGAAATACCTACTTAACACGTCGCATTTTTCAAAATATATAAAATATTATTTTAAAATTTTTATTGTTTCTGTAGTGAAATTTTTCTTTGAAACTTCTTACGCTTCTTAATTTTCAACATTTATTTGACAAGGAGGTATACTGCTACTTACATATACACGAATCGTATGTAGATCATACTAAATGCCACAAAGTGTTTAAATTAGACTATTAAATAGCGCTGCAAAAAAGGATCAGTTTTGCATTTCCTGTACACTATTAAACAGACTATCTACTATTTTTCATACGTAAAAAAGTAAATCAGGAACAATACTATTTCAAAGTTTTTACACTAATTAATGAACATCATTGCGCCTATCAAAGCGTTGAATAGTCATTACAAACGATACACGCGGTTTATTGATAATTTGCGTGTGATTTTTACCATGCAAACAAATTAGCTGGACATCATAAAATGCACGCAAGCAATTTATGTTCTGCTTTAAACTTAGAATTACGCAGTTAGTAGTCAGTTTAGTAGCAGAAGAGCGCCTTGTGAAAGAGTTCGTCCAAGTACTGCCACCTTGACCATTTCTGCCGCCAAGCAGTAAAGTGAGCATTACTGCGTTCAGGGTTAGAAGGGTAAGGGCGCTGGCGAAATTACAGGCCCATGGAATGTGTCAACTTATGTCTCCAGATAACAGGTGATGTGACAGTGCCCCTCCAATCTTTGTAATTTAAAGTTTTGAGTGGCACTGCAACTATTATGGACAGGCGTGTCATAAAAAAAGCAAATTAGGTGTACTATGAAATGAAAAGAAAATGTTTGCATTACATACATACAGACGCACACACGCTTTGGCGTGTGTGCGTCTGTATGTTTTTCTCTAGGTATAATATAATAACATTAAAAAAGTAAAGTAATTTAAGTTTTCTTAAGCAGTCGCAGATAACATACATGTTACGCTCAGAATGAAATGGGACACTTATGTTATATCATATGCCTCTATAATAACCCGTATAATGATATCAGCTCGGTTGCAGGTCACGGCATCGCAGTTGCGCACGCGGCGCCGGTGCTGCGTCCGGCAATTGCGCACGCCGCTGCCCCTGTTGAGGTTTATGTATGAATCTATGCATTTTTTATTATAAACATAATTTTGCGATTTTTGATCCCACCGCTATTTAAGAGACCGATTGAAAATTCTCCCCTTTACACATGAACATAAAGGTCAATATAACACTAAAACTTCTAATATATTTCTAAAATAAAATAATTCAAATAGACCTCGTACCCTTAGTATATTAAAGCCGTATTTGATCATATGTCAATAGGTCTTTTACCACGTGAGAGTCATAAGAATAATAGGAACTACATGAAACAATTATGTAGGTATATATCGGAGTTATTGGAGAATTACCGTATTGGGAGACGTTAAGGGAAACTCCCGTCACTGAATGTATCAAGAATTATTTAATAATTGGTCTATTAATTTTTCGTTGTCAATTCGTTAATCCGGCAGTGAATAATAACGTTAAATTAGTTAAATTTAGAGCCAATGGGTTTGTAAGTGCACATCACAATCGGCAACCTCTCAAACTTCTTCTTCTTCTGACACTTACAACTCCATTCGGTGTTACCCGCTCTAAAATAATAATGACTACAGATATTGATTTAGCGAATAAATTAATTACTCGATGTTTTTATAATCCGTAATCAAATATTTTAATAAGACGCCGTTTATATAATTTTTATTCTAACTCTCTTTAAGCATAAAAAGGTATCGACTCATTTTGTTCGTAGAATCGACATATAAACCTCTTTCCTGAAAAGTAATCATTTTGCAGAAGTGGCTTTATTACTTGTGTCATCTCCAAAGCTTTCCGAAATTGGATCGTTTGTATGGAAACATACTAATTGTATCTTGTTTTTTACTACGTTTATAGTCCCACCCCCGCTACCAGTTTAACTATGGAGTCGCGGACGGCCACACAGGCGACCAGAAAAGTCAATGGGAGGCGCGCGATGGTGACGTCGTGAAGGGGCAGTACTCTCTCGTCGAACCTGACGGCACCGTCCGTACTGTCAATTACTCCGCTGATGACCACAATGGGTACGGTTCATACTAATTGTTATAGTTTTGAATTTCGTAACAATTTTTCATATTTTTTCATAAGCATTCGAAATATTATTTAGAATTTTACGTCGGCTATTTCAAAATTGTAAATGAAAAGCTACCTATAGTTTGTTGAATTTGGGTTTAAAAGAATATTGAGACTCGGTGCGGTAACGTCAATACCGGGAAAAACGAGACTTTTGAGACTACTTTAAAAGTGGGTTTTCGTTCTCATAGGCGTTTGGGGTATCAAATATGAGATTTTAATCAAGATCTTTTACTCAAATTATAAAGGAAAAAATGTGAAATTTTTCATTTTTATAGTGTGCAGGAATTAAACACAGGGGTGTAAAATAATTTCAGATAGCGAGGACCTGATTTTATTGCTGTCGTTCTTCCATTTCCACAAATTATTTTAAGGTCCACTCTACGGTGTTGTCAAGTCTATGTAATCAGAAGAATATTATTGTTGGTTTAGTAGATTTTTTATCCTGCTTAATCAAGTGGCGCTCAAAGTTCTCAGAAGTCTCGATATTCCCGAGACTGAAAACATTAGTCTCGAATCTCATAAATGCCTAAAAATCGTCGAGGCTCTCGAAATATTTGAGACCCAGTTTCCCGGGATGAAAGCCCTAGACGGGAGCTAGGAAAACGAATTAACAGCTTAAATTAGAAAATAATGTAGTTAACTCATTCGTTTCTAGATTCAACGCCGTAGTAAGCAGGGCAGGTCATGCCGCGCATCCAGGCCCTGTTCATGGGCCAGTGGTAGCCGCTGCTCCAGTCCTGGCACATGGACACCTCGGCTAGACCTCCTTACTATCGACTTCCTACACCGACGACTATTTATTACCTAACCCTTAGAATAAGACGGACGGATTGACATCGATTACGCTTCGTGGTATGTTATGAGGTCTCAAGACTACAGGCTCAGCGTTTCGTAAAGTGTATCGGGACTTCACGGCCCAAAGTTAGTCGCTTCAAGTTTTTTAAAAAGATTAACTTTTGTATTATAATTTCTATTAGTTTATAAGTCTTTTCTTTCCATTTTCCAATCTTTGTAGTAAATGGTTTTTCATACACTTTTATGAAACGTTACATTTGATAGAACTGCGGGGTGCTGAGCGAAAACTACGGTTTTTGTGACTGATTTGGTTAATAAATAAATGTAATATAATATTCTCATACAAATAAGAATTTTCTTTACTTAACCTTACATTGTATTACTAGTATACATTATCCAATTATCCGCGATTGGGTACAGTAAATATCACATACCAATCTTTGCATCTTTTAGCTTACGGCGAATTGACGGCATCCCAAACGCGTTTGCGCACTGCATCCCATTTGTATTCGTTCCGAATCCGAGACCGTACAAACCTAGAAAACTCGGACCCAATTCGAATGTCGCTTGTGCACTAAATCCGATTGGAATCCGAGAAAATACAAAATATCGCTTGTACGCCTAGAGATAAAATGATCACTGTGACATTTCAGAACGTCATTTCTCGGATTCGGTACTGGGGGGCTACGCTCGATCTCCGTCCGACATCCATCCGAAACAATAACTGTCAAATAAGTAATATTCGACAAAATTAAAAGACAAGTATCCAGTATGAAGCTTCATTCGCATCACGCGTCTTTTCCTTTGGTCAAGTATTGCTTATTTGGCTGTAATTGTTTCGGACGGTTGTCGAACGGAGATCGAGAGTAGACCCCCTGAGACGAATCGGAAGTGATACGCTAGCGCGCTTAGTCTATTCCTCAATTGCCCATTCAAAGTCATGTTTCTTTACTACCATTCTAAACGCCTTACTAAGAGAACTTCAAAGTAGACCCATCCAAAATTCATGACATACATATTGTAATATAACAGTAAAACCAGTGAATGTTACCAATAAATAATTTATTTCTAATGGAAATTGTGTAATTGTACCAAACTACCTAGGTCACATGCTAGCAAGGATTAGTCCTCTGTTTGCGTGTTCCAACCAATGACAAATTTATAAAAAATGGACAACAACCTCGGTAAATTCTTACAAAATTGTCCTGACTCGATGTATATATCATAGATATAAATCAAAATCGAAAAGCAATTAAACAATTAGTCAATTAGATACCATGTCACAGATAAACTAGCATTAAAGCTTTGCAATATATGTATTGCAAAACTAAATCAAGCTTGAAACAACGGGGTATTCGTTTTAGATAGCAAAATCCAGTTTCATACCAGTTTTGTATATAAAAAGCTGTGACAATTTTGAAGTACTATCATTCTAGAGCCGAATTCGCAAGAGTAAACACAAAAAAATGTTCGTTAAAGTAAGTTTATTCAATGTGTGCTATTTGCTGGGCCATTGTTTTATGGTTAATTCGTAGCCATGAAGTTACGCCTCTATCTATCGAGTAAACCTGTTATAAGCGAATACCTTCCTAGACATCAACTCTATTGATACTAAAAATCCGCTAGCCATAGAGTTCGTGCCAAAAATAATGGCAGCTAATTAAATTAATTCATATGTATAATAATAAACAGTACCATGCTGAGGCTTCGTCCTTGTCATCAACATAATAGAAATATAAATCAGAGAGCTCATAGTTTATTAATACACGTATCATGTGATTTTGTATATATGTGTGTGTGTGTTTGATGAATAAGACCCTTTTTAATTTAATTTTAATAGGTAGCAATCTTCGCGGCTGTGGTGGCGACTGTGTGCGCCCAGCACGATTCGCACGGTCACGGACACGCAACTTCCTCCCAATCCTTCGTTCGCCACGAAGTTCGCCATGAGCAACAGCATGGTCAGGAATACCATCACACTCCTATCGTTCACCACGCTCCTGTTGTGCACCATGCTGCTCCCGTTGTCCACCATGTCGCTCCCGTAGTACACCAAGCAGCCCCTGTCCAACATGCCCCCTCTCACCATGAAGAAGAACATTACTACGTAAGTTGTAATACTATTTCATTTTTATTTTTATTCTACATTTTTCATGCTTTCGAACAGATGATTCACTCTTGAAAACTTGTAACTGCCGCATATAGACATTAAGGTTTATATCTATTCCTTGAGTATCTTCGATTCGGATTTTACCTTGTTTTTAAGTGAACGTGTCACGCGAGATTCTTCCGAAGTGAGACTATTCAAACGGAGATATCAGTAATGAGCACATTGAAATTGAGTACATTGAAATCAGTTTCTGTTTATAATAATAAAAGCTGGCGCAAACCGACGGTCGAGAAGGCAGAGGATATGAAATTTAGCATTTTATTCAATTGCAATGAGGTATACATTTCAGTGCTCTCAGACCGACCTCGGAGTCACACGCCAGAGTCGGCATGGCATAACATCCTCTCGGTTTGTGCTAGACCTAAAAGTACATTATGTAATACAAAGAGGCTTAAAATGTTATCTCATACATTACAAATTATTTACTATTCCAGTCTCATCCCAAATACGAATTCGCCTATGAAGTGAAGGATACCCACACCCACGACATCAAGTCTCAGCACGAGAACCGCGACGGTGATGTTGTTAAAGGCGAATACTCCCTGCACCAACCCGATGGTGCTGTGCGCACTGTCAAGTACCACGGTGACCACAAAAGCGGGTAAGATTTGTATCATAATCATTTTTGTTCATTAAGTAACTACTGTTAGCATCATTTCCTGCGAGAGACGAAGCATATCCTTGCCTCAACTGCCATTCATTACTTTTTTGTAAGTTGAATTTAAAATGTACGGACGGCAGTTAAATAGGTACATTGGCATTTCTTTTTCAGTTGCTCTGGAGGCAATATTCGAACAAAAGTGTTTATATAGCTTCATGTGCTGTTGATTATAACATTCATATCTCTTCATAAAATGTACAAAACGATTATTAATTTCTATTTTGTCTTTGCAGCTTCAACGCTGACGTCCACTACAGTGTTCCCTCACATCACGCCCAGCCCGCTCATCATAACTACCATCATTAAATGTTATTAAATCTATCACTGTTTTGTTGCGTTTGTATTTTGTTTTAAATATGTGAATAAAGCTAGTCTATGAAATTATACATTCGTTTCTTTAAACTCCTTTCGTATCATGGTTATTATGGCCAGCTTTGTTTTTCACATATTGTTTAAGGCTCAATTTATATTGTTGAGAAATGAAGTTGTACATTGGATAAAGGTTCTATAGCAAAAGTGATTCATGTGTCATGCATAGATTTAACAAATGAAATTTCGATTTGTATAATATTTCACCCCATTTCCTTGGTTGTCCTTGTATGAATCCAATGACTTTCCCTAATCTGTACCAAATCATAAGAAATTAAAATTTCTCAAAGTTTAGGGTGTTGATGGTTTGAATAATACATTTGAATGTTTTCATCGCCATCATCATCCACAGTCTCATTTCACCCACTGCTGGGTACAGGGCAACCGAATGTTTTCATACTAAATATTAATGTGACTTGAAAACGACCATTGCTTTAAATGCTAAGCCATGCAGTGGATCCGATCACAGAACAGTGGATCCAATAGACATATTCCAGATATAGGATCATTCAATTTACTTGACATGTTTCGAACTAGTCCGTGGTCCGCAGTCATGAGCTTCTGCAGAATTGCACACTACATATGAGTAAAAAGAATGAAAAAAACGAGAGTAGTTGCTCACCGCCGCCACCAATGCGCGGACTTGTACTGAGTGACCGGGCTGTTAGGGATTTTGCGCGCAGTTTTCGTCGAGTTAGGCTGCTAACAGGTTGACTGCATGTTTGCAGTTAATGAGTGAAATCGTAATCAACTTCATGCAACCCAGACCTCGACTGCATGAAGTTGATAACGACTTCACGTATTAACTACGTACAGTCGAAACTCCGTCGATGTGAACGGATAGTCCGAGAGTCAAAAGTACTAACTGACTTTCTTACGTTATTTTTTTTTTGCGTATATTGTTCTTTTTTGCTTTCAATATATCGTTTAATTTATCAAAAGTGGCAATCGACATTCTAAAGTAGTTGTAAAATTTGCTTTCATCTTGTCTTAATTTCGGGTACTGTACGTAAAAATCACATTCTCTATAGTAACATAATAATAGTGGATCTATACACGCTGCACGCTTCCTATTTTGGTTTCGATTACGCCGGCGGGGCGTAACAATAGTAATAGTGGTAGCGTCTGTGCTTCCATCTCGACGTCAACTTTTACACTGAGCTCCTGAGCTAAGCGCGCGGCGATAACGTTATTGTACGGATTTCGCGCATGCAGTTCGTATAGTAGCAGCCTTACCGCCGCTCATGATTAAATACCACGGACGGATTAGAAATATATCGAGCAAATATCGATTTAATTACGTGAGTTATCCGTTACTTTAGTTAACATTTCACGAGAGATGTTTAAAGATTCAGCATACGAAGTAAGTCGATAACTTTTTTATGCTTAAACAGGAGAGTTGTGAAATTTCACATATACATAATGTATGTACCAAACAGACTTTTTTAATAAAATGTAAGTGCGCATTTGACCTCCATCTCACCTGATGAAAAGTGACAATGAGGTCGACGATGAAGCATGTACGCGTAAATAATTCCTATTCACTCTCGCCTTGAAAAGGCTCAAGTTGTAACGTTCAGGGAACAAGTCTGCAGGGAGCAACTTATGAATGGAATGGAAGGGTTTTAAGAGGACGACGTCCAAGAAGGACTAACATTGGCCAGATAAGTGATGTCCTCAAAAAGGCTGGGATCCGAAGTGACAAAAAAAAAGAGTTGTATGAAAAGGGTGGTTGATGTATGTGAGGCTAGAAAGTTGTGTCAGGATAGAATAAGGTGGGGTTCCGTGGTCTCTGCCTACCCCCTGAGCTTAGGCATGTATGCATAATTTGATTCGTGTAGTTTATATTTTTGTGATTGTCATGCGATAAAACCATTTTTGACGTATAATCACACGTGGTTTTATTATACCAAGGATACAATTGCCTTTTGTCACCATTTTCTCAGCATATTTACAAAATTTTCCATTGTCTTTTAAAAATGAGCACAAAATTAAACTTTTTAGCTTTTTTGGGAAATATTAGATCCACAATCCTTGATGGCAGTCCAGATAATCAAGTGTATCTAACATTGAGTTTTTTTCAAGTTTTTATTGAACGTTACGATGTTTCACCATGATATTCAATTATTTTTGTGAAGTTGCTCTACTAATTTGTTATAATTATGAATACAAAGATCGAACACTTAGAAAAAAATTCCTTTAATCCGGCAAAAGCAGTCGTTAAAACCCAAAAACAAAGATCTGCAACAAGCACAAAGAAAAATTCGTTAGGTCCTTTGGTTCTCTCTGTGACTTAGTTGGCATAGCGTCTAACATGGGTTACTGGAAGATGCTGGTTCTAATCCAGCCGGATCGAAGAAATTTTTTGTTAGTATTCTATCTTTGTATTAATAATTATCATTTGGTTTGATTACCAAATTTCCATAATGGGAACAAAGTTTGTTTGTACGGAGCGCGCTCGTGGGACAAATTCTATTAAACCCGTCACGCATCCTAGAGATACATGATTGACTAACGATTTTTATACTGTAAAAACAAATAATTATTAAAATTAAATAAAACTACAAAATTTGTATATACTAAAAAATAAGACAATATTTCAAAATTTGCAATATTTTATTTATTAAGGCTTTTACAATTTTAAGTATGTAGATTTGATATAAAATGCTATAAATAATTAACTTTATTATTAGTTATGGTGAGTTGGATGCGAGTAAGAAACATCAGCATGAAATCTGAAACAAAATATGTGTTTGCATAACTTAACACCACATAACACATTCACAGTTCAAATATAAGGTTGTCAGGAGTCCGGATTAAGTAAAAATTAGTTGGTTAAAAATTTAAATATAAATTGAATGATGAACACGCAGATCCAACTAAATTGTTCCTTAATTTAAGTACCTACATAATTCGTAAATTTAATCTTATTCGTTTGTTTCGTTTCCGGACATAAAGGTTAAGCAGGCAGTCCAGCAGAAACACTCGCAACTTGTATCTAGAAGGACAATTCTCTCAGCAGAGCGGGTCACCTGACAACCCTTACGACGAATAATCCGCTAGTAACTAAAACTATAACCTTGTAGACTGCACGAAATTTAGATTCGGTATTTTTTTGAGATAATAAAAAATAAGAGACCTCATATATCTTTCAAATACAGCAAAATTTTCAAGAAAAAAAGAAAACGAAAATTTAAAAATAATTTTACTCTGAACTTTTTTTAGTTTAATAATTCTTAACTAAAACATTTACTAGATATTCGTGTCGGCCATTTATTTGTCAGCCGTGACCATGGCTGTAAAGAACGCCAACAATTGGTATGTTTTAAAAAACCAAATATAGATACGAAAAAAATAGTTTCATTTCCTATATATAACAATCGCGAAAACCTAAAAACTCGACAAATATTAGTGGTTTCTCGTTTTTTTTATTAATTATTGCGTATTTACATAATTAATACTCCTATACAAAATTATTCAAATCTAACTGTAATTAGGTACCTTGTATGATACGTGCTTGGCTTGTCTTGTTATAATATTAAGCAGTTTTCCCAGGACAATACATAATTAAACCAAGAAATATAATAAGAAGCTGAATCTGTCAAGTTAAATGAATACAGCGCTTGACAGATAAGTGGACGATACAACACACACTGTAGGATATACCTTCGTCGAAATTTACGTAAATGTACTCTGCCTAATCGATCTTGTCATAAGGCATGAAAGTCGCAAATTGTACAATGAAAATGTAATCTTACCCGCCCTTGTGGTCGCTGTGGTACTTCACAGTGCGTACCACTCCGTCGGGCTGATGCACGGAATACTCGCCCTTGACGACATCACCTTCGCGATGCTCGCGCTGCGATTTCACGTCGTGGGTGTGGGGGTCTTTCACGTCATACGAGTACTCGTAATTGCGGTAAGGCTGTGAATGACAATCGAATGGTAAAGTATTGCACCAAACACGTCTCACTGTTAGACGTAGTAGTTCTTTAAGGCGCGTCAGCGGAGAGAAGCGGGAATAACTGTTTTGTTGGGTCAAATGGTTTTGGTAGTTATTATTAAATAACGGACTTACAAAAATATACGATATACAAAACTCTAAAACGAATAAAATATCTAAGTTTGCACATAATTTTTATATGGAGATATTTCTCTTTCAGTACTACAGAGAGCCTGCGAAATTTAGATTTTCAATTGAAACCCTATAATTACTAAATTCATACGTATCCCAAAATTCAAAAATTTAACGACAAGCCGCAACGTCCGCTTCCCCGTCTCGCCATCGGGCGCTTGTCAACGTCGGATTTTCATCAAATTTTCTCCGCCTGTTCTTATTTTATTCATATTAATTTTCAGCGCGGGATTGTGGAACGCGAGGAGCGGATCTCCACACCTCATATCCTAAAATCTAGGCTAGCGTTGAAATACCTCGCCTTAATGAGACTGTAATGTTTTCAACGATTTTCTTTTTCAGAATTTCTTCATTACTATTTATAAATTGTAATTAAGAGCCAATCAATTAGTCTAGTAGTCTAGTATTTAAACTGCGAATAGTCGGAACGACTCCATGTTCAAGGCCCATGCTGGGACTCGAGCACGCATAATGCTACGTGTAAGGTGAGGAATATTCTCATTCATACTAGAGTTATCTGTACTTCTCGAGTACGTATCATCGCCATCGCCTTATAACAAAATGACATTTATCACTTTTTAAAAATGAAACTAGAAATATCCAAAATTTTAACGTTAAAAGCTCCCATAAATTGAATATGACATTTGTAGTTAGTATAGTTTAGTGACCTACTTTAAGCGGTAACAATAAGTTTACTGATAACAAAATTGCTATAAATAAAGTAATAAAGTATCTTTTAATTGAATAAAAACAAAGTGGTGTTTATTTTGAAATAATTACGAAATTTTGTATTCAAAGCAGTTTTTCGAAAATCTAACGTCTCTACCAATGTCGTATTATGTATGGGAGCGTTAACGTTAAAATTTTGGATATTACTCCTTTTATTAAAAGAAAAGTTATTGATGTCGTTTTACTCATTGGATAAGACCTTTCGATATCAGTTTGAACGTTTTTTATCTCTTATATTCTCGTAATAATCGGCTGGGCACACTTAACTATTACACCTTGTAGATAGCGCCTTCTACATTCCATCGAGTAGGTCGTCAGACTAAACACCATAAAAAGATATTACAACAACACAACAACTTACATAATGATGTTCTTTATCTGCCATGGGAGCCTCTTCGCGGCGCTCCTCTTCACGACGTTCTACTCTAGGTGCTGGGTGGGGGTGAAGGACTTGAGTGTAGTACTGAGAAGACACAGCGTGTCCTTGCGACTCCTGCGCATATACCACTGCCAATGTCACTGCGAAGATCACTACCTGTTTCAAACATAGGGGAACTCTAAATACGATCTTACTGGCTTAGTTGTTAGCTATCCGGAAGGAAGATTCCGAGTTTTATTCCAAGACCAACTCAAGAATCAAATTTTTCTGTTACCGAGGTCTTATGTATTTGCGATTGCAACACATAAATGAAATTGTGTGGATCTGAATCGCGTACATTTGTTTTTCACACAAATCTACGTTTCCCACTTTTTACAGTGCAAAATCTGTAAATTTTTTAGTTGTTTCTGGTTATTTTTTTCCACTATGCCAAAAACCGCCCAACTGTTTTGTCGTCATACAGAAACTGTTTCCGCGGGGAGTCACGACACTCAGTAATGAGCAATACAACGCGAGGAGGAGGAGGTTATTCTTGAACAGGGAATTATCCACATAAATATAAGAATGAGTAGAAAACGAAAACGAAATTACTATAAAATATAATATTATAAAAGAAATTAAATAAAAACTCAAATTTACCTTTGAAACCATTTTCGTATTTATCCTGATACAATTTCGAATCCAATGATACTGCTTGTTCATGCATTGAGTATTTATACAAAAAATAACGGAAAATATTGCTTATAGCAAATTAGGGCTGGCTGCGTAGATTAGAAAGCCGTATCGAAAACTACTGCCTAATGAAAAGTTATTGAATTGTTTTAATATCTAGGTGAAAACCCTATGAACATCCTTATAACAGCTGTCGATTTACCTAATCAATAATTGAAATGTTGTTGAGTAAGATATCCTTCCGCATTACCAATACATTAAATTTCACGAATTATGTTACCTACCTTTTAACAAAACGATGCAATGTTTTGTAAGTTTTTTTTTAATATTAGACAACATCACATACGTTGCTCTGATTCCAAAGTAAGTAGCTAAAACATTTGTGTTATGGAAATCGGAAACCTCGAAAAAATCCAAACTCGAGACAATATAGAAAAGTTAGTTTCTACACTAACCCAGTCGGGGATGGGGATCGAACCAGGGACCTCAGAGATGGCGACACCGTGAAAACCGGTGTGCCAGCCACTCGGCCACGGAGGCCGCCGTATAACTAACGAGACGTAATTTGGGTTTTCTGAACCCAAATACAACCCAACCCAAACACAAAACATAATTAGGGTTCAGAAGCATTCAATGGGATTTAACGGTTTTTTTCATCACAGCATTCAACGGGTATCACCCGTTAGTAATGTTAAATTATTAATGTATTTGGTTAAAATACATTCTTATCGTGCTGGAATAACATACAGGGTCAAAAATACGACAGACTTGACACTTAAGATTTATGTGAAAGGAGAAATCATGTCAAGTGTACACGACACTAAAATCATACAACACAATGTAGGTTGTACCACGTTCAATAATAAATACGTTCAAAAATGAAAGAGTCGACAGTCATATTTTTCATTTATTTGTTTTAATTTACTACTAATAAAGATTCGTCGAGTACTTTGGGGTTGATTAGAGTTCTCGAAAATTTAGTAAAGAACAATGGCAAACTCCCATATAAATTTTTATTGATATGATTAGTATGAGTCTGTTTATGAAAAATAAATGAAATAATTTAAAAAGAAACTATTTTGTAGGGGTATCCTACAAAAAAAAATCATCGAAATCGGTTAATAAATGTCGAAGTAATCGGTGTTACACGACAAAAAATAACTACAGACGAATTAAAAACCTTCTCCTTTTTTCAAGTCATTAAAAAAACCACGCCGATATCTCGTTCGTTCCTTCCTCGAACCTGCAAGATGTGGAATAATCTTCCTCCTGAAGACTTTCCTTTGAGAACATGGTGTTCTTCAAAAAGCATGTTTACAGGGTATAAGTTGTAAAACCCATCGTACCGTTGACTGCATAATTCCTAAATACTGTCTCATCGGCGTACGTTCCACCGCTGAACACAGGTAAACTTAAGAGGAATTTCACAAAATCAACATGGAACTGGTGACAGCGTTGCTTAAATGCAACATGGCAATCATCTTGACTCATCTTTTAGTTAATTTCAGCGATGTTCACGCCAATGTTGTGTGATATGAGCTCTTTGATCGAGAACCATAGATACAATAATAATAAAAATATAATGTAATGTTTTTAATTAGCAGCTAGCTCGATAATCTATAATTAGCTAATTAAAAATTAAGGACCTTGTAATAAAAATATTAAGACCAGATGACAACTATTGACAGCATCTTAAAACCTGTTTACCACCCTGTACGTAATAACCAAGTAACCGTAGCATTCAATTCCAAGGGACACTTGTTAACTGGTTTTGGGTATAAAAGCTTTGCAAGCTTTTAATCTGGCATCATTCAGTATCAGTACTCTGTGAAAGAAACTTACAATATGATCTCAAAAGTAAGTATCCAGAGTATATCCCGTATCTATACTATGTATCTTTGTACTGTGGTACATAATAAAATTGCCTTTTTTAAAAGTGCTCGCTTTATTTATTTATCAAGTACATGCAGCAAAAATGTGATTATAATTATTATAATATTTATTATTATAAAAATGTTTCTATTAGGTTGTTTTCTTCGCGGCTGCGCTGGTAGCGGTGTGCGCCCAGCAGGACTCTCACGGCCACGGTCACGGCCACGCCGTTTCCTCCCAGTCGTTCGTCCGCCATGACATTCATCATGAGCAGCAACATGGCCACGAATACCACCAGGCTCCCATCGTCCACGTTGCTCCGGTTGTCCACCATGTTGCTCCCGTTGTCCACCATGTTGCCCCTGTCGTTCACCACGTCGCTCCTGTTATCGAACACATTGCACCTGTAGTTAAACACGTGGTTCCAGTAGTCAAACACGTTGCTCCGGTAGTGAAACACGTTGCTCCAGTAGTTCATCACGAGGAAAAGCACGAAGAATATTATGTAAGTCCAATGCGATTAATAAAATTAGAACAGATCCAGAAAAAAGTCATAGTGCGTGTTCTTTTTCCGATAGTTTTTTTTAATTTGGAATTTATTTTCTAGTCTCACCCCAAGTACGAATTCTCTTATGAAGTAAAAGACACTCACACTCACGACATCAAGTCTCAGCACGAAAACCGTGACGGTGACGTCGTCAAGGGCGAATACTCCCTGCATCAGCCCGATGGTGCTGTGCGCACTGTTAAGTACTACGGCGACCACAAAAGCGGGTAACAAATTTTATCTTCACGCATCAGCCATGCATGATACGGTAGTGGTGGTGTTCGAAACAAGAAGTTACACATACTTACTATCTCTAAATTGCTGTAATTTTTTTTGCATGATTATAATATGTAAATATAGCAGTAAAATGTAATTTTCTATTTCTAGTTTCAACGCGGAAGTTCACTACGATGCTCCCTCTCATCACGCCCAGCCCTCCCATTATGACCATCATTAAATTCTTATTCACTTGTTTTACCATTAATGACCCTAGTCGGTAATATTAAATACATTCTTGTTATCTAAAGTGTTTTTTACTATATGCAGATCTGTAAAACTTACCACAAAGCAAACATACAAATATTATTTACACCTTATGTCTTAGTAAACATCAGATAAATGTTTCAAAGTTCATTCTTGTAGCAGTAGACCTCTTTGTGAAATAGTTCGTCCAGGGAAGTATTGCCATCTTGCCTATATCTGCCGACAAGCAGTAATATGAACATTACTATATTCCTGTTTGAAAGATACGGGTGCTAGTGAAATTACAGGCACATGAGACTTGTTGCAGAGGTAGTGCTCCTTAGATCTTTGTGATTCAAAGCTCTCAGTAGCACTGTAATTGCTATGGACTGGCGTGTCGCTTACATCCAAACCGACTTGTTCGTTCCGTCACGTGGTATCATAAAAAAACCATATATGCTTAATAAAGAAAATTTGGAAATAAGGTATTCAACTGAAGCTCTGTGTCAGGAACCTTTCTTCTCTGGATCACTGCAGTTATTCTTTGGCGGAAGTAATTGCCTATCTTTTGGTCACCGGGGGCTTCAAGGAGGCGAATTGATAGCTTGTCCCCAGATACCCCCGATTTTCAACAATTTTTTATCACATTTTATCATTGTGATTTATCATGCCTACAATTTCATAATTCTATTGCTATTTTTAAGATATGCTCCTAAAACAGCACATTGAGATTGTAGCTGCCTTCGCGGCCGAATGGTTACCTTGCCGGACTGCCACGTAGAGGTCCCAGGTTCGATTCCCTGCCGGGAGAAATATTTGTATGGCCTACATTTATTTCTCTCGTGAGTCTCGGTGTAATTTGTGGTTGCCTATGT